TTAAGGATGCCTCTGCCACCCAGCACAAAGTGCTATAGAGACATGTTCTTATCTGATCCTCCAAAAACCCTCCTGAGAATAGGTGTTGATTGCTCTTGTCCCCATTTTACTGAAGAAGAGACTAAGGTGCAGAGAGGATCACCCAGTTCATAAGTAGTAGAACCAAGCTTTGAATTAGCTTTCTTATCTGTCTCACTCAGAAGTACTCTTTTTTTTTTTAGTTTAGTTTATTGAGGTATAGTTGATTTACAATGTTGTGTTAATTTCTACTCTACAACAAAGTGATTCAGTTATACATATATATAAATTCTTTTTCATATTCTTTTCCATTATGGTTTATCACAGGATATTGAATATAGTTCCCTGTGCTATACAGTAGGACCTTGTTGTTTATCCATTCTGTATATAAGAGTTTGCATCTGCTAATCCCAACCTCCCAAGCCATCCCTCCCCCACCCCACCCCCTGAACTTTGATAGTGATATTATGGTATCAGCAGTCCAGAAGCCTTAGACATCAGTGCCTGCCTTCCTCACTTCAGCAAGTCCAGGGAAGTTCAACAAACCAAAGCATCCTAAACCTCACTGTTATTTGGGAACTGTGCATTTATATGCTTCGTTTAGGAAATGCGAGGAGAGCATGTGATATGAGAAAAGCACTGTTCTAGTTGGGAGAGATCCAAAGAGGAATCCAAAGAGGGTCTCAGCCTCCAACATGTGGAGAGACAGTCTTGTGTGCAGATATTAGAAGGAAAGGTGCATAGGTCCAAAGCTGGAACATGGTGGTCAGATGAATGAAGGGTCTGCTTTTTACATCCTGTTCCAATGGTTACGCTCCATGTTTTGACATTCCCCATAGATCTGAGAGTAGAAGGGCAGGACTGACGAAGAAATTTCTTTCTAATTCTAGCCCCAGCAAAGCAAAATATCTTTTATTGTTGGGCAACAAATAGCTATTTTAAACTTCTATAAGTACTGTTGAATTAGTTTTAACAGACTAAACCCGTGTAAAATACCAAGTTCTCTAAGTGTTCTGCTCCACGTCCCATAGGTTCTCTTTCACTCTTCTTGGTGATGCTTGCAATAATGAAGCTGCCCATTACCGATTGCTAAGTGGGTATTATTATCTCATCTACTCTTCACCACAACTTTGTGGCGTAGATATAGTCATGCCACTTTACAGCTGAGGACACTAAGGCTCAGAGAGGTAAATTTGCTCAAAGTCACACAGCTAATAAGTGGCAGATCTTGGGTTCAAACCTATACCCTGGCTTCAAAGCCTATGTTCTTAACTTCTATTTGCTACTGAAAATAATCCTTTCATGGATGTGATGTAATCTGGTATCTGTACACACCTCCTTGATAGGTATTAGACAACTTTACCAAGAAACTACTGCCTGTTGTTTAGAAACCTTAATTTTTAGATCTTCAAACTCAGTTCAAACCGGTATCAAAAATAAAGCAGCTCTTTGATTTAAGAAAACAAACAAGTTAATCATTTTTTTCCATTAACCAACACTTAATAAATACTTGCTCTCACTGATTTCTCTACCTCTATTCTTCATTCTAACAAAATGAATTCAGCATAGATGCTTCTGTTGACTTTCTGTTGTATACGTCAGAATTTTGAGGCCTGAAAGGTGAGAAGTCACTTTTCTGCTGCTCCTGTCTGGGGAGATTTGCTGAGAAAAGGGTTAAGAATGCCAGAGGCTTCAAAAGTAGAGCTGAGAAGGTCAACGTTGGAAGGAGAAATCTGTGTCCATGCCCTTTTTAAGAAAGGAAAAAATTGGGAGCCCAAAACACTAGTTCTTATTCAGATTCTTTGAGACTAAAGACAAGATCCTTCCCTTGACTTGTCAACCAAGAAATATGGACAAGAATTCAGAGGTACCTTAAAGCCAGGTGATGACGTTGCTGACAAGACCTGAAAGGAAGTGGACAGAGGAATGACAAAAGGTTCAAGCCCTCCTAGAGGTCTGGGAGCTTGGGTGCCTGTGGACCCAGCTGTCCAACTAGCATGAGCGAGTGTGGGCACCATGTTAGACAGCATTCCCAATCGGCTCATGGGCTCATCTCAAACACCAACCACTGGGTTCTGGAATTTTTCTTAGGCTGTATGTCTTCTTAGAGAAATGTTACATAGAAGAGGCACCAGGTGGTACCCAGCATGATATTCACTGCTGATTCATCCCTCTTCCAGTCCTGGCTGCCTCTTGCTCAGTTGACGTAATGGAAGTTGCTCAATGGTACTAAACAGCAGCCTCTTGAATCCCCCCACTTCTCCCTCTCATCCCAAAGAAACTCAGCTTGGATTGGGCGCAGTTTGAATCTTAATCCAACGGTGCTAAAGGTGCCCTGGCTACTGTCCATGGGGAGTGTGCTGACTGGAGGCCATTGCCCCTTCCGGGTGAGTTTTCGTTCATGCCTCTCAGGCCACTTTCCATGAGGTGTCCATGGTATGTGGGACACCAGCCAGGTGCGTGATGCGCTCTGGCTTATGGATGCAAGTCATATTTGTCCTAGTCGCATGTCACACTCCTCTTCCTACACCCCCTGAGCCCCTGGTTCAAGGAAGGGAGGCACCAGCTCTCGGAGATGCTGTCCCACCAGCCCCAGGATGCCGCCCCGACCATTTGAAAGCGTTGAGGTGCTGAGTTCACCGTCTCACCATGCCATTGCTGTCAGTGTTAAAAACTTCATTCCAGTAGGCTGGTTTCCTTCACATTCTTGCGTGCCCTTTCTTTAGTAAGCAACAAACATGGTTCCCTTCACTTGGGCAAATATTGTTCCCTTGCCCTCCTAGCTCACTGTGCTTTAAGTTGCTACATCACCTGTTGTTATTCAGCCCTTCACTGCTCTTATTCTTTCTCTTCCACCACCTTTAGCCTCCTTTTTTATATGTTTTGTCCAGTTCTTGTCCCCCTGCCCCAGTCCTCATTCAAGGAAGCAGCTAAGAAACAATCTAGGTATTGCCACAGCAGCAAGAATGTGTGACCTTTGTCAGTCACCCACAGATCCAATTTCGACTATGTAAAAATAAACTAATTAAAGAATATGATTGTATTTATTTATACCTGGCTCCACGAGAGAGGAGGTAAAAAATAATCACATCTGCCACAAGCAGATGTTTGAAAGTTTCGGATTGAGACGTGAAGACCAGTGTGTGCATACAGAGAGGTTGCATCTCAAAAGACAAAAATGCAATAATGTATCTTCATTGTGTAGAATATGGTTTACACACAACTTTGCAAACACAGAGTTGCCCACGTTCTGTTTCCTTTGCAGGTAAAGAGAATGCCAGCTGCTTATTCTACTGCTTTACCTCAGGGAAAGAGTAGAGGTTACAAAAAAATTAGTTGGCTGATATTCATCAATTTACTGCAAGGTTATACACACACACACACACAAATACAAAAGCATAGATTATGTGTAAAGCCACCATGAACATGTGTTTTAATATTTATGAAGGTATATGGATCATTTTAAAATCCCAAACTTGTGCAATGTCATATATATAATAGACTACTCTTCTTAAAATACCAGAAAAAAAAAATTTTCTACAGAAGGCAATCCCCAGAAGTCATTTTTTTTTAAAACTTCCTTGTTTTTACACAAAATTCAATTTCTTATTGAAGCACTTGCATCCTTTGTCGTGTATCTAACAAAATCCAGAAAAGGCAGGTTTTTGCAGAAACATAAAGATGAGGTGATTTTTCTCCCCAAGGCATAATTTTGTGTTGGTGTGTTAAAATAGCTTTAGGTAAAATTTTAGGCACATGGGGAAAGAATATATATAGAATGTGTATAATATAAGCAGAAGAATATTTATTATTGTGTTTTAAGCTAAAGCCTTTTGTACACAAAACCCATCAGTTATTAGTTCATTCACATGTGAATTTTTAGCAGTCAACCAAGTTAATGAGCCATGGAAGCATTCTGCAGAATCACAGGAATATCTCTTGAGTGTCATTAATTTCTTGAATTTTTATTGGGAGAGTATTGTTATGACCAGGGAAAATATTTCTAACCTGCTCACAATGATGCTTCAAAAAACCTGGAATTTTCAGATGAACAAGAATGAAAGTTTCTATTTTAGAACTGAAGTAAGAAAACAGAAATGGTGCGTCCCCACCCCCTCCGTCCCTCCACCCAAGCTGCCACTTCTACCAGCTGACTCAGAAGAGCTTGCTTTCCGCCCGTGGTTTCCATTACAGCCGAGTCCTTTGGTGAGCTGCACCCAGGAGATTGCCTCCTGGCCCCTGCAGTCTACACAGCAGCAGACAATGCCCTGAGCTGGGAGTTGTGGCTGCTCTGTCACCTGTCTGGGCCCCTTCCCTGGGAATACGCCTCCCCCTTCCTCCCAAAGCTTTCAACGCCTTTCCCATCCCCCTCCCCTTCCCCCCCACAACACACACCAAAGCATGCTGCACCCATGGTATTCAGTGCTTTCTGTCTAAAGTATAAGATTAGAAATGAAAGGGAAGTTTAGAACCTGGTTTTTTATTGGGGATTTTCCCAGGTAGCCTTCCTTACTAATCTCTAGGAAGTAGTTCTATTGGAGAAAAGCTGTGAAATGAACTCCTGGGACTGCTGTTCCATGGCAAGGAATCCTGGTATCTACAAGCCTCAGTGGGTCTGGGCATGGTCCTTGTCCAGCCCTTTCTCTTGGAATGTCACGTCTAAAAATTATAGACCTAGGCTGGACCTGGTGTGAAGATATCCTTGCCAAGTATTTGTTTCATCAGATGTTAAAATAACTGTGTCCTATTCTGGAATGCAGGGCAAGTCCTACCCCCGGTGGAATAATATATTTTAAGTGATTTCTGAAAGTGGGTCGTGAAAGCCATCCGCCACATGGCCCATGTTTGCACATCTCTATATAGTTACAGTTGCAGAATTTGACAGTGTAACTCTGAATCTGATTAATTGAGAATGTGTAAAAACAAAGTTCTTGCATTACAGCTCGTTCCTTATCTTTGTGTCTTTTACTGTGATGTTGTAGAACTTGGATCATATGGAAAACTAAAATATTATGACACAATGACTGAAGAAGGTAAGAATGATTTTAGAATTGTATGCACTGGCTTTTTTTTTCATTTATGGTGTCTGTGGCTTGCCCATTTTTTTTTAAACTTTTTTTCCCCCTCTTTGCATGACTTCAGTGACATTGTGTGTTTTATTATTCTTTCCACATTTTCGTCTAGTTTTTGCCATCGTGTTGGTTTGGAATTGGAGACGTGCAATACCATGAGCAATCATGTTATTCCATTCAAACGATCCAAACCATCTCAGTTGTGTAACACAGTCAGAGAAATGGTGTCAGCAACATAAGCACAGGCCCACACCCACTGGGTCGTCGTTATTTCCTCCACATGCTCACAACATATAGAAACACATCCAACCAATACTCTTCTTTTAATATGCCCCAGTTTCAGAGGAGGGGAGGTTCTGGTAATATTCTGATTTATGCAAAGGAATGAGCGACCTAAAGGAACCACTAGGCCCCAAACCAGTCGGAGACCTGTTTCTGATGCAGAGGGCCGTGTAGGCTCATGTCCTTAGCTGTCACAGTCCCTGTTAACTCACCCAAGAGAGGCCAGGGCCACCATTCCAGCCAGTGGGATTGTATATATTGGGATTCATACTCCGTGAGATTGGACATATCATTTTAACCATTTCCCCTGAATAAGTGAAGTCTGGCAGAAACTTCTTTTTCAGTGTATCTACTGATGAATTCCAGGCTCTGTCCCAGAGCACGGCCTTGCCCCAGTCAGAATGACTTTTCTGAAATAAGTGCACCACGGAACAGCAATTTGAGAATTTTTGCGTTCTTGTAAAGGGAGTTGTTCTCTTGCCCTATCTCTCACACATGCCTCCGCCTTTTGACTAATAAATAATATTTGTAAGTTATGAAAACATTTGGAGTTTTCCCGTGAGTTTTACACTGATATTGACAAGAAATCAAAAGGTACCCTAGAAGGGGAATCAGTTAATTTTATCCTTCAACATGAGAGAAACTCCCCAAAGTGTTGTATATCTTATTTTCAGCTTCTAGTATTTCTGAGTTGCCTTAGCTTGCCAAAGATCTCCTAGTTGCTTTGCAGGAAGCAGGACATCCGACAGCCCTCGGTAAGAGCAAGCCCTTTCCAGCCCCTCCCCACTCTGGCTTCTGCACTGTACCCAGGCCCTTCTCTGCGGCTATCTCTGTGCTTTCAGTTAACCACTGTGATGTTTTCTAAAGCAGCAGGCCACAGTAAGGATCTCAGACTGGGCTCTGTTGTAGCCCAGGGCCCTCCCAACAACCTGGGGGAATGCAGACCCTTGGGCAGTGAGAGCCCCAAAGGCAGAAAGCTACCTATGAGAGTCAGTAGTCCACCACCGCGGGGATAGAAAGAGCAATCTGTACCTTAAAGGAAGGCTCCTGTCCCGGCTGTTATTTTTAGTTCGTGTCTTCAAACCACTTTGATTTTTCTTGGTGATTGGCTTGGGAAGCCAAAGGTTTGGGCCTCACTGATTTTATAATTCGATTCGGGAGTCTCACAGCCCTCAGCCTCGGCCTCATGGCTTGGGCAGCTGGTGGGTTTGTTACCTTCTACCTGAGCAGTGACGACCCTTCACTTTTCTCTCCTTCCTCCATCCTGTCCTCTGCCTTCTGCCCTTAGCTTCCTGTGGCCAGAGCAGCTTCTGGCTCTCTGTTGCCTCGGTTGCCCCTTTTCTCCCTTACTGTTCCCTTCCTTCCTCTTTCCACATCTATTTGAGCAAATGTGGCCATCCGAGTGTTCCCTTAATCTTCCCACGCCAGACAAACCAAGATTATGCGAAGATGCAAAAATGCTACTTCCGAGCTGTTGCTACCACTTGCTATCGAACAGCTGGGCTTTCTAGGCAGGGAAACAAAGCCAAAATAATATCTGGAATGAGAAGGCTGACCAGCTTAGCAAGATTGTGAAATCTTCGCAAGATTGTGAAATTGTCTTTGGGGGCCCTCACGGTCACCTTTAACGTTCCTTATCCTTCTCGTGACTGCCCCATTCCTTCATGTGTATCCCTTTGTGCCCCATGCTTAGCTGAAAATTCATCCCTGTTACGGTGATAGCTAATAATAGCTAAGGGAGCACTTGAAAAGCATGTTCTATGAAATACTACTTCCAGATCATGTCATTAGGAATTTTGCAACAATTGGGGGAAGAAAAAGAAAGCAAGCTTGATTTCATAGTTAAATAAGCAGGAGGGCTTCTGAGTTAAGTTAAATAGGTTTCTTTACCACGTGACTTGTCAGAGCCTTCGCTACGTACCCGTGCACTGCAGCATATAATAGTAAATCGTGTAGAGGGATGGAGTTTGCAGTATTTCCCAGACTTTTTTGGTCAGAGGACCCATTCTTCCACGGAGCCTCTTGTGGAACTCTTTTAGAAATGCTGGTTAAGACATTATCCTTCACCTAGAATAGGAACCTCTGAAAGATTCAGAAGTTTTCTAAACACATAGCAATCCCTCTCAGGCATTCATGGAAAGGATACTTTGGAACACGAGGTCTCCCTACAGCCCCCCTCAGATTATACCCTTTGGCAGCTGCCTCTGTGACCAGCCAGGCCTGGCTTAAACCTAATTCTGGGATTCAACTTAAAAGACGCTCAGTAACCTCAGACCTGGCAACCACCATGCATGACTTCTTCAGATTCTAAAGGGCCTCCCCCCTCTCATTGAAAATAATAGCAATAACTGTGATATGTATCACTTCCATGTTGTACAGTTTAAGGAGATATAATAAAGGTGAAGATGTTATGGGCAATAGGGGACTAGTATAGCCTTCAGGAAATATCCCCCTCCATTTGAGCATTTCTTTTCACAATTTTAGAAATGTGACTAGCCCTTGACAGGGCTTTATTGTAATTGCCCACGTGACTAGTCATTATTTGTAACTGTTTCCAGAGAGAGCTCTGGATGTTGCGTGACATCAACTACTTGCAACGAGGCCTGTTTTATTTTTATTCCCTAAAGTGGATTAAATGGAAAGATGAATTATATATGCCACCCCCTGTCCTAAGAGAAATGGTGTGATGATTTCCTCAATATAGAGAATTGTCCAGCACAGATTCAGTTTATTATTTTAAGCACCTACTGTATGCAAGTTATTCTGCTAGGTGCTTTGTTGAAACACAGGATTAAAAGGTGGGCAGTTTTCCCCATGGAACTTATAGACGGGGGAGAAATAAAGCACAGCAATCACTGAGCCACCAGGAAGAGAGTGGTAAGTACCACAGGTGCTCAGAAAAAGATGACAGACTATGGGAGAAGGAAAGATTGCTTTCAGCGGGGGGCGGGGTGGGGAGGGATTTCGTGGAGGTGATCTTTGACCTGCACCCTAAAAGATCAGTAAATACGGGGTAAATTGGGAAAGGAGGAGTGGTAAGTTCCGAGCCACCCGGCTGAGAGAAGGATGAAAAGAGGGGCCGCACCAACCCTTACTGGGTGCCTCCCACCTGCCAGGTGCAGTGCTGTGGGCTTTTTATATATTCTGTGTCATTTACTCCTTGTGATGATCACATAGGTAGATTTTACTGAAGATGAGAAAACCAAAGCCCAAAGAAGTGTTGTATTAGATGAGGAAATGAGGACACAGAGAAGAAAAGTAATTGGCTCTGGGACTCGTAGGTAGTAAGTTGAGATGAGGGACCTGAACTCAGGACTGTGGCATGCCACCCCCTGTCCTCTCAGCTCCACTGTGGTTGCTCCACAAGGTGGAATGAGGAACTGGACAGTTCACATTGGCTACAGTGTAGGAGTGGGAAGAAAGGCTTGATGGAGACCAGACCATGGGAAAGGTTGAACCACAGACTAAGAATGACAGTGAGCTATTGACTGAAACATGGCCCCCCTACTGGAACACTTTACCATTAAAATGTTACTTTAATAAAACAATCTGTTTACTCTCAGACACTGGACAAAAGCATAACATTTTTTGTAAAATTTGCCCCTTCCCTCGGAGCCCTTTCCCTCCCTCCCTTGTCTTCAGGTGCCCAGAACATAAATGGGAACAGCTCCCTGGGCCACACCCAACTCCCTCTCCCACCCCGAGCCAATCAGAATTTTATCCGCTCAGTCATTCATTCCCTAACATATTCTTTCAGCAACACTCAGTATGGACCAGGCACTAGACTGGGTGCAGGGCCTGTGGAGATGAAAGACAGTGCTTCTCCTGAAGAATTCACGCTCTAGTGGGAGACGTAGGCAGAGAGATGAGTAGCGTGATGGGCAGAGCCGAGGTGCCAGGGGAGCCCAATGGAAATGAGGGCAGGCTTCTCAGAAGGGGCCATGTCTCCACTGCCTCATTCCTGCCTGCCAAGGTGATGACTCTCCCACCAGCCACCTGATTCTAGTGTGTTCACTTGATAATAGCTGAGCACCTGCCTCTGTATGAGTCATGTTCCTAGACTTGATAGATTCGTGAGCTTCACTCCTCCCAAAGACTCTATTTCCCTCTGTAACAAGATGTTTCCAAGGATACAAACAAATGACTCCAGGGGTAGTCTTTTGGTGACCTCAGATCCCCCTACATGGGCATCCATCCCTTTATCTCCTCATGGGGTGATACTGAATATTCTTGGAAGAGCAATCTCCGATTTTTACTTAATGTCAATAACCCAGAGTTTAACACTACTATATATAAAATAGATAAACAACAAGGACCTGCTGTGTAGCACAGGGAACTGTATTCAATATCTTGTAATAACCTATAATGGAAAA